GCCCGGGACAAGTCCCTCTGCTTGTTGGGAGACCAAGCAATCCTGAGCTAAACTGCCCAGCCTACGTCATGGAAATTTACCAACCATCTAACTACCTGTAAAAGACTGCTGACTGCCCCTGCTCGCTGCTGTTTCCATGCTGCTCTAAAAGGCAGCCCCACAGTCTGTTTGCTCTCAGATAAGCTGCCCCACACCCTACTCCCCATGGAATTATCTGGTTGATGGTCTTCGATGCTCTGCTTCCATACACTAACTTGGATGACACAGACTTAAAGTGCAAATAGATATAGAGCCAAAAAGGTCATTGAAGGGGACTGAAGGGGGGTCACAAGGATGGTGGGGGGGCAGGTGCTGCTTTGGGATTGAAGCTGGGGGATGGATGGTTGTTCTTGAGAAGACAAGGAAGAGAAGGGGAATTCAGAGATCATGACTGAGACTATAAGGGAGAAATTACCAGTGCTGGAACTTAGTAAGCTTGTTTGTTGGGATGCAGAAAGCTTCAAGCACTGACTTCTCAAAGGAAGCAGAAGAATTTGTTGTATAGGAAGAAGGAAACATTAAAGCCTTCTGAGCAGCAAAAGGGTATGTCAATCGAGAGAGCAGAGTAAGATCCAGGGAGACAAAAGGTGAAGACAATTTGCCTACGGTATTAGAGTCATGAAACACTGTAATATTTTACTTGGTAGATGTTTAAAGAATTGTGTATTTATAATCTAACTACACATACTGTTGCGATGCAGCAATTATGGACTGGCACATGAGTTTTCATTTCCAGCACATAAAGGTTAGAATGCTTTTAGAGTCATCTGGTCTAAAGATGCACGCTCTTAGAGCAGTAACAAAGCATATATTTAATACTTACTAGATGCTAGGCACAGTGCCAGGGTCTTTCTTTTTTATTTTACGTTCGTACTGTAGTTCTGGGGATTGAACACACGGCCTTATATATACCAGGCAAGTACTCTACTATCTAAAGACATCTCCAGCAAGCTCTTTAAATACCATTATTCCTCACGTTGCTTTCATTATCTCCCATTTGCTCTTGAAGAAGCTAATGCTGAGAGAGGTTCAGAAAATTGTCCAAGTTCAGTGGTTAGTAAACAATATCTAAACCCTGATGTGTCTGACACGTTGGTGAAATCACTCTTTTCTAGCTTTTTGGGAGTTGGCCTCCCAGATGCCTAAGAGGGTTCTTGTGACCTGAGATACAAGAGTCATGCTTATTCTTGATGAGCATCTGTGTCAATTGGCTAAAATGTAAGACCTCCTCCATCTATGAGGATCTTAGAAGCCTTTGCGTCAATGTTACCTGCCACATTCCCCAGTTGAGTTGATTTGGTATTGAGGGAATTTAATTCAGAGTAGTTTTCTATCACTCATATAACAGAGAGAAATGAAACAAGGAAACTTGCCAACCTAGTTAGGCTAGTTAGACATTACTTTCCACAATATTAATACTGCTACTAATAGTAACAATCAAAGATAGGTCACCACATGAGAAGAAATTCAAAAATTAGAAAATAGTAGGAAGACGTCTATGAAAATCAGTTTTCTCATGGGGAAAGCTTATAGGACTAATGAAAAAGAATATAAAAAACAAAAATGTGAGTGTTTTTTTTCCCCTACTAAGAACTATCAAGTAATTTAGCCAGCAAGGTTCAGTTCAGTAGATTTTGCTTTCAGGTAAGCTGGGTCACAGCCTCCTGGTGCAAATTGAGGGGTTCCTGGAGAGATTTCTCAATCAAGCAGAATAGAACAGCACATTTATAATTACAGGTGCTTGCAATTTCAGCAATTAGGAATTCCTTTCTTTCTTCAAATAAAGGCTTTAGGGGCTTTATGAGTTACTTATTAAAATGCAAATCCTCAAGGGAGACATAACAGCATGGATTCTTTGCAGATAATATGTTGAAAAAGATTCAATTTAATTCAGTTCATTTCAGTTCATTTGACTTCTATTTAATTTATTTGAGCCCCTACTAAGTGCAAAACTCATGGGGAGAAAAGATGAATCAGGCTGTTTCAGTATTTTCTAAGATTCTTATAGGGACAAATAGTCAATGTTCTGGGCTTTGTATGCTGTATTGAGACTGCTCTGTTGTGACACTCAGCTTCATAGCTGTAACCAGAAAGCAACATATACTTCAGTGCTCATAGCTGTGTTCTAATAAAACTTTATCAAACAGATTATGAGCTATATACTGACCCCCATGTTAACTGTTAGCTAGATGTTTCTAACTAGTCAAGTATTTACCTGATATCCTCTGACAAAATCCAGTGACAAATTCTAAGATCATTGACTGGAAATCCCTGGAATCTTGTGGAAAACGTTAATTGATATGCAGGCCTGGGTTGCCTGCATAGACCTAGGGCTTCTCATGGGATTGCTATGGGGCCATAATAGGACCCTGAAGTCCTTCATAGTTCTTCAAGTAATAATAATATTCAATAAAATTTAGAGGTACTGCCTTGAGGCCATACATGAGAAATATTGTTAGATGTAGTGAAGCTCCCTTAGGTAATATAAGGCTGGGTAGAGTGGGGTTGGGAGAGAGGAGGTGGAATGGGAATAAGCAAATTCTGGCAACATGCTTCAGCTCTTGGGGAGAAGAACACTTGCCTGTTTTCCTACCACACCAAGAGCTAAAAATAGAAGTGGGGTTGGGGAAATGGCTAAGTGGATAAAGAGCGTGACAGACAAGCATGAGGAGCAGAGTTTGGATCTCCAGCACTCACACAAAAGAAGAAAAGCAGGTGGTTGAGTTTGTGATGTGCCTCAGTGGAAGCTCAATGGATTCAGTGGGTTCAGTTCCCTGGCATCACTAAATAGACAGACAGGCAGACAGATAGAAATAAAAATGCTTGGTGGCTCATTTGTAATCTTAGAGCTCAGAAGGCAGAGACAGAGTGTCTTTTGAGCGAGCTGGCTAGTTAGGTTAGTTGTAATTCCAGATTCAGAGAGACCCTCCTTCTCACAGTAGATAAAATGGAAGGTGACTGAGGAAAACAATTGATGTCCATCTCTGGCCTCTACATGTGTGTACGTAAATACACTAGTATACACACACACACTCACATACATACACACACAAATACATGTACACACCACTTACTTAAATCCATGCAAAAAGGTAAGAAACTACTATATTTACAAAAAGGGAAGGTATCAATATAAGCTACTTAAAAATACAAAGACAACATGTATCTATCTGAACCTGACTAATATTACAACTCTCTTCCCTGGAGTTGACTCAGGCTTGTAATGTCTGTATTCAGATGTTACCTCATGAATTTCCAAGTATGGCCACATCAAAGTATACAAACTGTGTGATCCTCAGCAAGATGAATGTATTTAGTTCTGGAGGCTGGAAAGAAACCCGAATTAAGGGATCAGCAGGAACCCAATCGCTCTGCAGGCTCCAGGAAACAGCTCCCCTCCTTGCTCATGCCTGCTGGCAGGTGTGGGCAATCTTTGGAGTTTCTTACCTTGTGAATATCTCGTTCTAATCTCTGTGTCTGTCATCACATGAAATTTTCTTCTCTGTGTATGTCTCATCTATTAGGAGAACACCAGTAATGTTGGATTAAGAGCCCACCTTACTCCAATATGACCTTTTATTTCTAATTGCATCTTCAAAGAAATGTTTTCAAATAAGGTTATATTTTATTAAGTGGTGTCAGTGACAGGGATTTGACTGTTTTTTTTGACTGTTCAATTCTAAATACTACCTCACAAGAATTAGTTTACTTGTGTGTGAAGAACAGAAATAACGTGGAACAGTGGAAGGAACATTGGACCTCAATCCTGAAGGAGATTGTAGCCTCATCTGTGAAATGGGACTAAGAATTAGAAAAATGCTGATCAGCAGGCATGTAAAGAAACTCTTCAAGTAGAAAATTTTCTATAAAGTTGAACATATTCAGTGCAAAGGGAAACTAAGTCAAATCATTTAAAATGTATATGTTGTTACCTTAATCAACATTCTGGGTTTAACTTGGAGGCACGCGGAGGACCATATTTGTAGCCTCTACAGTATAGTGAAATTCTGGTATGGAAACCCAGGTTCTTGCTGTCATCACCTCCAGAGTCCTGGGTGTATACAAATCACTTCTAGAGAGGAAGTTTGGTTTGGACAGATGTACCTTTAATATCTAAGAAGCTAAAAAACCTTTTGTTCACATTTGTAGTGTTTCAAGGAGGGGCAACTCCTCTGTCTAAGTCGCCTGGCTTTTTATGTTTTACATCTAAGTCTTGTGCTCTACATGTTACTTCAAGCACTGAACCTGCTGAGTACCCAGTGAAAAATTGCATTACATAAAAGAAAATGAGAAGAGCTTGTGCTTCAAGCTGAGGGATTCATTATGCCCTCATCTATAAAATGGTCATAAGATGCAACTCTCTGCCTGAAGTTCGCTGTAAGAGTTCATTGGACCAGTATGAAAAGTTTGTAGCCAAAGGCTGGTGGTTGGTAGTAAATGGAATGAAAAAAATATGAGGACAAAAATCTCTGCATTTTGGGGCTGGAGAGATGGCTCAGCAGTTAAGAGCACTGGCTGTTCTTGCAGAGGACCCAGGTTCAGTTCCCAGCACCCCCACACAGCGGCTGACAACTGTCCTTAACTCCAGATCCAGGGAATGCAGTGCTCCTTTCTGACTTCCATAGTTGTTGCACACATGAGTGCACTTACACATGTGCAGGCAAAACACCCATATACATAAAATAAAAATATATTTTTTTAAACTCTGCATTTTAATTCTCTGCAATTCAAAGGCAATGTTTGGACAAGACTGTATAAGGGACAGGGAGAAAGACACTCTGAAAGCTTCTAAAATAACCGTGCAAGGAGAACAGCAGTGTCTGGGGAGGTCTGGGAAGGACAGGAATAAGATGCTGCCAAGATTGATGAAATCCACAGCCATGCTGGAGCCATAAGACTATTCACCTGCCTTCCCCCTCCGGTCACCATGTCCTGGATGTATTCCAACAATCTGTTAAAGCATGGTGGATTACTATGAAGTTCTGGGCGTGCAGAGATACGCCTCACCCGAGGCTATCCAAAAAGGCATACTGGAAGCAGGCACTCAAGTAGCACCCAGATAAAAATCCTGAAAATAAAGAAGTGGAGGGAAAGTTCAAACAAGTGTCTGAGGCCTACAAGAAGCGGGACATCTATGACAAATATGGCAAAGAAGGATTAGATGGAGGAGGAAGAGGTGGTGGAAGCCACTTGGACAGTCCGTTTGAGTTTGGCTTTGTATTCCGAAGCCCAGATGATGTCTTCAGGGAATCGTTTGGTGGCTGGGACTCATTTTCTTTCGACTTCTTTGAAGACCCATTCAATGATTTTTTTGGTAACTGAAGGGGTCCCCCGAGGAAGCAGAAACCGAGGCACGGGCTCCTTTTTTCTCCCTCCTTCAGTGGATTTCCATCATTTGGAGGTGGATGTTCTTCATTTGATATAGGATTCACTTCCTGCGGATTACTGGGTCACAGGGGATGTACTTCCTTCTCGTCAGCATCATTTGGTGGCAGTAGGATGGGCAATTTCAATTCAATATCAAGTTCTACTAAAATAGTTAATGGCAGAAAAATCACTACAGAAAGAATTGTGGAGAATGGTCAGGAGAGAGTAGAAGTTGAGGAAGAAGGCCAGTTAGTCCTTGACTATAAGTGGTAAGGAGCAGCTGCTATGCTTGGATAATAAGTAATTCAAGGCATGCATTTAACAGAATGTTAATAACAAGCACCATTTGAGGATTAACAAGAACATTTTTTTAAAGATTTCAAATGAACTCGACTTTCAGTATAATTGTACCTAATCTAAAGTATTTATAAACAGCTAATTGGAGCCCCTGATTGTCATAAACTTTTGAATTTGTTGTTGGGACCACACGATAGGACCATTTGTTTTTCTTTAAAATTGTTGTAATCTCTGCATGCACTTTGCTTTTTTAAAACGTAATCCAAGGTGAGCCTCTGACTCTGAGTAGTGCTAGGAGAAGACTGTTCTCTAACACCAGTGCTGATCTGCTTCAGTTGTTGGTGTGAGCCCTAGTGTCAGCCTGCTGTGAAGTCAACCTTGCCAGGAGGAATCTTCTACAGAAGTATTGCAGTTCTGTCAGTGTTTAGTGATGACGGTTATCTCTGCATCAATGGCAATACATTTCTGGTTTAGTGTAAATTAAGGCTGTTTTCTAGCTGTGCACGAATGCTGGCGACTTGGCCCGTTCTGACAACTGTTTAAATATGTAATGTTAAGCTGAGGTTTAAAACTGGTAAATTGGGTCATTGTCATTTGCTTTAAGAAAAAACAATAACAAAAAAACACAGATGAAATCTCTCTACGAAGCCCTGTCCCCGCCTGTGCCATGGTCTAAGCAGACAATCTTCCCTGGATAACAAGAGTCCAAGGTAAGCTGGATCAGTTGGCTCCACTCTAGCAAAGAGCCCTTTCTAGGGTAGGCGGGTGGCAGGTGTTATAAAAGAGGCCGTGATCACCCAGAACTCAGTTTTTATTTGGAAAGAGTTTCTATGTGACATATTAACCTCCCTTCAATAGGAGAATGCCAATAAAGCTGGGGCAGGAAGGGTGTTGACTCTTCCTCCCCTGAGAATTTAAAATTAGTCCAAGGTCATGCTGAACTTTCCAAGAGAAAGAAGTTGTTAATTCATTTTCTCCCTTTCCCCTTCTACCAGTTTTGCAGAACTTTCGCTCTTAGTCCACTTGTCAAGTTGCCAGGCTACCCCACCTCCCACTTAGATACGGGCTCCCTGGGTGCATACAGAGAAGTTGAGGGATCATGGGGCACTGAACTAAAGCTTTGGTGAAGTGATGGCTGAAGGGCGTATTCAATGCGATGATGTATCAGTTGTGTGTGTGCATGCATCTGCCTACATGTATGTGTGTGTACATTTTGAGGTGGTGCTAAGTGTATTTTAAGATTTGTTACCAGGCAGAATGATTCAGGATTTGGGACTCTCACCCAGATACACATAAAAAGGGGAATCTGCATTGTGAAATATGATCAGGCCAGCCTCCCTCCTCTCTCTCATCCTACTCATTCTAGTTAGTTCAACCAGGAGTGTATTAATTCTAGGACAATTAAAATGCTGTGGGTGAAAGGGTGAGATTAAAGGGTACAACATCAAATTAGCAGGTGTCTGTTTCAAAATGCAGGTGAGCTGTCAGCCCTGAAGCAATCAGCGAGAGAAAGCCAAGCGATTGCCAACCAATGATGCATGTTAATTTTCATTTCCTTCTGTCCTACAATTTGGATGCACACCAGCCTAAGAGAGCAGGTGACAACAGCAAAGGAGACTTCTGTTCTGTCTGCCTTTGTTTGGGATTTTTCCCGTAAACAGCTTTGGATATGAACAGGGACAAACTGACAGTGAGAAGTGAAATAAATATACCCTATGGCTGATTCATATATTACAATGACTAGCAGGGTAAGTGTCCCATAGATCAAACTGTAACCTGGGATGTATTAGAGGAAAACCTGTATCTAACTTGCAAGGTGACTCTCTCATGACACAGCACTTGTTCAAACAAAAAGTCAGATTTTGATCTTTTTTTCCCTCTCTTTTTTAAAAAAAAATTTTAGTTATTATTTTTATTTTATGTATATTCGTGCACTACCTGTATGTAGGTAAGTGCCCACGTGCAATGCCCGTGGAGGAGAGAGAAGCTGTCGGATCCCCTGGAACTCTGGAACTGGAGTTACAGACAGTTGTTAGCTGCCATGTGGGTGCTGAGATTCAAACCCAGGTCTTCTGCAGGAACAGCCAGTGTTTTTAAACGCTGAGCAATCTCCCCAGCCCCAGATTTTGATCTTTTAAGTTTCTCATAACATCACAACAAAAATAATTTGTTAAACACCAACATGAAAAAAGATGCTTGGAAGGGTGAGGGAAGAAAGGAGGGTCAGAAAAAGTAGGAGCTTTGTAAAATGGCGGACAATATGGAGGCATGGTTTGCTACTCTCCAGGCAATAAACTGGGGAAAGATGAATAACAGCTATCAAGAAGAGGCGAGTGACAGCCACAAATCTCTAGTCAAGCAGCAAGGTAAAGCAGAACAAAAGGCAGAACAGAGAGAATTTTCAGCATCTCTACAGGAGGGATTGAAAGGTCTGGGGAGCCCCTCACCCTGTCCCCCAGTGAGAGGGAGTGACCAGACCTAGTTTTAAGACAAAAGACCTCAGAAAAGTAGCACTGTCCTCTCAGTAACAGACATTTTAACAAAGAGAAAAGGGAGACTGTTGTACCTTATCCACTGGACCCCAAAAAGACCTCCAAGGACCCAACATGCCAAAATGCAAAAGCAAAGGTTTATGGTTTATTCGGGCTTAAGCTCGGTCTCTCAGACCTCACCAACTCAACGGATCCATGCTGAGAGCCCAGAGTAAGGGAGAGTGGAGCGTTTTATAGGTTTTAGACAAGGAGAGGAGGGGGATACCGAAAATACATTTTGGTTGGTTCAAGGAGCCCACGCGCGCCAACATAATTTTAAACTGATTGGATGTATAAGATGCGGCCCTAGAAGTTTCTTATTGGTAGGTGCTCTCAGGGCTGTGGAATATGCTGTTATCTGTGGGGCCAGGAGTCTCCGTTTTTACTGTATTGGGCAGTTTTCATGCCCGGGCTTGCTTAATCTATAGTTTTCTGGAGAGGGGTGGAGAATAGCAAGTGGGGGTCAGGGCATGTCTAGGCATGTCTAAAGCAGCAGCCAAGCATTTTACAGAAGCTAAAAGAGCAATTAGTGTGGGTCTGGAGGGATTGGGGGGTAGCCGGTGAATGAAGAGGGTCTCAGGGTCCTACAATCCCCCCTTGTCTTGTAACTGGGGAACCCAATCATGGGTGCTGGTTGGCCAGCTCACAGGTATCTGGGGGATCATGCTAAGGGGCATATGGGGATTTATGCTACTTGCAGGAAAGGTGCCATCAGCCGATAAGCAGTTCAATGTCAACAATAGATAGGTTAGCAGGAAGGGTCTCGTCGGATGTGGAGCTTGAATGGATTCGAAGGGTGTGGGGATGCCTTCCAGGTGTCTCCCTTGTAATCCTCTGGGACTGCAAAAGTGTCGGCAGGTTTTGCGTGGGAGTAGTGCACCCAAGTTGCGACGCCATCCACTTTGAGTGTGGTGGGAGTCGTCAAGAGGATCACGAAGGGACTCTTCCATTTTGGCTTGAGATTTTTCTGTTGGTGTCTGCGGATGAAGACCCAGTCGCCGGGCCTGAACCTGTGGGGTTGCTGGGGAACAGTGGCTTCATATACGGCCCTGAGTTGCAGTCAGACCCATTGGTGGGTTAACTGCAACCATTGGAGTGAGTCCAGCATGTCCTGGTCTCCCAAGGTCGATACTAGGTCAGCTTGGAGGCTAGGAGTCATGGGAGGGGGGTTTCCATACATGATTTCAAAGGGGGTCAAACCCATCTGGTATGGAGTGTTTCTTACTCTAAAAAGGGCAAAGGGGAGGAGAGCCACCCAGTCTGTGCCAGTCTCTAAAGCTAATTTGGTTAAGGTCTCTTTTAGAGTTCTATTCATTCTTTCTACCTGTCCTGAACTCTGGGGTCTATAAGCACAATGTAGTTTCCAATTGGCCCCCAGTGCAGTGGCTATTCCCTGGCTTACCTGAGAGACAAAGGCTGGCCCATTATCTGCCCCGATTGTAGTTGGGAAACCATACCTGGGCAGGATCTCTTTGATTAGCTTCTTGGCTACCACATAAGCAGTCTCATGCTTGGTTGGGTAGGCCTCAGTCCATCCAGAGAAGGTGTCTCTGAATACTAGTAAATATTTATGCCTAAATTTTCCCTGTTTGATCTCAGTGAAATCAGTCTCCCAATACATACCCAGTCGTGTCCCTCTGCTCTGGGATCCTGGGTTAGTATGGAACGAAGCTGAGTTGGTTAATTGGAAGGCATGACAATGCCTAACAATTTTTTCAATGGCTTGATTTCCTTCCTGAATTTTAACTTTGACCCTTCTTAGTAAGTCTTGCATCCTTTGGGTGCCCATGTGTGATGCTCGATGTATTTTCTTGAGCAATCTTACGCCTAAATTCTGAGGTAGGATAACTTTTCCATCCATTGTCCTCCACCAGCCCTCTAGGCATTGAGTCATAGGGAGAGTGTGTATCCAGGCTAAGTCCTCGGGGCTATAGTGGGGAGTTTTAGGCAGTTCCCTTGCTCCGGGACCAACAAGAATGGGCAGGATCGTGGAAGTCAGGGTGATTTCTTTAGCTGTCCTGTCAGCCAGATTATTTCCCTTCTGGGTGGGGTTGTTTCCTTCTTGGTGACCTGGGCAGTGGATTATAGCTAGTTTTGTTGGGTCCCAGAGGGCTTGCAGGAGGTCTAAGATCTCGTTTATTTTTAATAGTCTTTCCCTCTGCAGTAAGGAGGCCTCTCTCTTGATAGGTGGCCCCATGGATATGGGCAGTGGCAAATGCGTATCTGTGTAGACGTTGAGTCTCTTTCCTTTACCCATCTTTAGGGCTTTAAATGCATATCTGCTATCTGTGTAGACGTTGAGTCTCTTTCCTTTACCCATCTTTAGGGCTTTGGTAAGCGTGATCAGTTCATCTTTTTGGGCCGATGTACCTATTGGCAGTGGCTCAGCCCAAATGACTATCGAGGTGGTGGTGACTGCTCCCCCAGCATGCCTTTTACCATTTCTGATGAAGCTGCTTCTATCCATCTACCAAGT